AGCGTCAACTTTATTTTCAAACTCAAACTTTCCTGTCCTGGAGCACGGGAGGGTTTGCTGAGCTGTTTTCTCTAAGATCCTCCCAGTGGATCAGCCTTTACTGCCCCAGACAGCCAGAGGGTGTTACAGACACAAGTACGGCAGATGGAGAGCAAATCTGGTGATCCGAGGCCGTTACCACAACCCAGCAGAAACGCTCTGTTGGGAATTAACGGCTCTTGGTCCCCCCAAGGGGTTTGGGCAGCTGAAGACCAAGTCAGAGCCAAGCAAAGGGGATCCGCGGAGCACGCTGGGCGGGAAGCAGCAAAAAAAAAAAACCAAAAAAAAAACCCCAAACAGCAAATGACGCAGCAAACACACGCAGTTGAGGTCAGGGCAAAGATTAAAAAGCTTCTTGCTCCTGAGGGGCTTGGCTGCAGTGAGCTGCGGGTGGATGTAAGTGGAGGGGGGAATAGCCCGTGCCCGGCAGGAACGAGGGAGCCTTCACTTGCACGTCCAGCAGGTTTTTGGGCTGCAAAACCCCAGTCCCTTGTGTGACACTAGCTCATGTTATATGTTACTAGCTCAGCCTTTCAATGAAATCACTCTAAATAGCTTCAACTTTCAATAAAACCCTATGTACTTATTACTTCACAGGAATATTAATAGTTATTTATCTTTTTACTTTAGACACCCTGGACATTATTGCCATAAAAAGAATAAATATTCAGACATTATTGCACAACCTACACATCCATCTCTCTACATCTGGGCATCTCCTCGAGGCTAGAGGGCTGAGGAGCAAAAGGATGCTCCATGTAGGGATCCACAGAACAAGCACCCCACAGTAACAGCCCACGTCCCACACAGCCTGATTTGGCTGAGAACCTCCACGCTCCCACGGACCACGATGCTGGTTTGGAGCAATGAATGCCCTTCGAGGGGCTGGCCAGCATGGTGACGGCACAGCGATGAAAAACATGATGGAGGCCGGGTGGATGGCAGTGCCTGCACAATGGGGACCTTCACCCAGCTCTCGGAAGGAGAAAACTGGTAGTAATTGATGGGGTGGAAGGGCAGAGATTAATTCAGGAAAATTAAGAGTGTTTGGGAACGTTACAAGCTTTTAAAAAAAGTAGATGAATGAATGGATCAAACAATGGACCAGATAAAAAGATGTTGACTAGTGCTGCTTTGCAAAGGCTCATGAGAGCAGTTTTCACTCCACAAGCACCAAGTAAAACTGACGGGCCCCTGTGAGCTTGGGGCTTCGGCCATCAGGTCAGGATATCCCTGACTGGGGGTTATGCAGAACTGTGGCCCCACACCAGGAGCAAAACACCAGCCAGAGCCCTGCTCTTGTCACTGCATCCCACTAGGAAGGGTTGTGGGGGGTACCACTTTTTTTTTCAAAGACTTTGGAGAGTCTTTGGAAAGCAGAAATGAGCATCAACCTGCAGATGTACAGTCTACCTTTCTCCTGATTTTCCCCAGAACTGGAGCATCTTTCCCTCTCTCACCCCCTTCTCTGCTCAGTGGTTTCCACCCAGCGTGCTGGAGCACAGGCTGCCCTTACGGCAGCACCCTGCGGTGCAGGGAAATGAAAAAGTGAAGATATCTTTCAATATAACAACACATATGCAAGCTGTCATGGCACATCACGCACTCTTCTGCATGGCTCAGGTTGGAAAATTAGGTCACATATGAATGTGTAACACGGGGTGAAAAAGGAGTGAAAGCTTCACTTGTGAAGTTCAAGGTGTTTCCTGGGGTCCCTGCCCTGAGCCCTCCTGCCCTTCTCTCCCCACCCCGCAGGGCTGGCAGCAGCCTCGATGCTATTTGCCCCGCCATGCCTTGGTTTGTGCACTGCTGTGCTACTGTCTTTTGTAAAAAACAGATGACTATTAGCTAAGCAAAAAAATACATATTTTTAACAATTAAGTCAACTCACTCCCCACTAATCAGGCTGCAGAGCTTCCTGAACTTCAGCTCAACCCTGGTGCCTTCATCCTTCAGCTCATGACCTATGACTGAGGCATTATCTCAAAGCTAAATTGGGCTAAACAAGTCCCAGAGTCTCATCATGACTCTTGCCTCCTGCAGACCTCCCTCAGCTTTTCAGTAGCTGGTAAAGCTCTTGGCTCTCCCAAGCCTTTGCACTGTTTTACATGAGCGCATTTAAAGAAAACAGAAGATGTGTAAGAATCTCATAACGTAGTCCTAAACACATTTATTTAACTATTTTTGGTCTTTCTTTGGCTTATGTCAGATATCTGTCTATTCCTATAGCATCCTCAGGTGCCAAGGCAAGCATCCTAGAAGCAAGGGGACAGTGCAAACAGATACTAACACATGAGCTGACTGGAGGGAGTGATCATGAGTGTCATTAAGTAAATTTTAACATGCTTCAAATTTAATACTTTATGTTAGTATTATAGGTAAAAAGCACACTTACAGTATGGGTTTTTTACTGGCAATTATCCTCTAAGAACACAAGCAAACCTTGATTGTACAAATGTCTTACGGGAACATGCAAATCCTTCATACAACAGGAGGCTGGGAAAGAGAAGATGAAGTGCTAGGGTTTAAATAGTTTAGGGAAACACTTGGAGGTAAAGCTTTTTTTATATGTAGGAGTAATAAAATTAATGAACCTGTTAAAAAGCACTTTTTTTTTTTCAACCTTAAAAATGATTTTCCAAGTTACTGGCACTTACAGTTCTTGGTAGATTGCAGTATATTTTACTTCTATGAAATGACTCAACCGTACACAGCACCACTGCAGCAGAGCAAGAACAACGATGCTCATCAAGCTTTTTTTAATATACTGATTAATACTAAAAGGAAAACCTCAAACTTACCAGCACAGCCTAGAAAAATCATTCATGTTGCTGTGGTGCCTCCTCCCCATCCTAAGTATGACTAAGTAGAAGAACGCCTGCTACAGCACGTCCCAGCATGCATGTAGGGATCAATTCTCTGAACTAGCTTTTAACTTTTCCAGTGTTGTAAGATTTTCCAAATCCAGGATATCAATTATAATCATCAGCTCCCTCATCCAAGATGCTACAGCAGAAATCCATTTTTATATCACTAGACCATGATCTCCACAGAGGCAAATCTTCCCTCCCACTGCTTAAAACCAAGATGGTAGATTAAAAATAAGGAGATTTAACAAAATACAGTTGACAGTATTTATTCTTTTGTCTTTGGGGGCTTTGTACTTTCTAATTCCCATGCCTTTTCTAGTTTTTCTGTACAGCTGGTGCAAATGGTCTCAGCTGGAGCTGAGAAACCATCATTTTGGTTTTGTGCCAAAACCGTGCCCCTGTGACTTTCCCACTGGCCTTGGGCAAATCCCTGCGTTGGGCTGAGACAGCCCCTACAAGAAGGGGCATCCACGCCCCACACAGCACTACAATGGGTTCTCCTACCCCAAACCCTGCTGGCAGGGCTCTGCACCGAGCTCACACTTTCGCTGTGGTGCCGGTGGCTGGGGCTTGCAGCACAGGGTAGGCTGTCGCCGGCTTGTTGGAGACACCCTGACATTTTTGTATTTAACCATGAACACCCACGTGTTTGTCGGTTTATTGTAACCTGACTGCCCACTACAGATAAAAACAAGCCCTACAACATCCTTGAGAGATGGAGATTTTTCTCTCAGGCGTTTGTTTTCGGAAGGCCCCCGCTCTCACGTGTCTGCCTGCTGTGATCTGGCAGATGTAATTACGAAAACAGGGGTTGCTCAATCAGCCACCCTTCTGCCGCCCCCGAGCCCTGCATGGGCCTGAGCACAGCTCAGCCAGGCTGGGGTTGGGAGCTCTGCCTGGGCTTGTCGGTGCTCTCAGAGGCTGCCCCGCTTTGTACATCTGCAAGGAGATGAAGGATGCTGACCATGACCTGCTGCCGCTCAAGCCACCTGCGGGCATTTTCTGTGACCTTCACTTCTGCTTTGTAGGAGAAAGTGGGTGTTAAAATTGTGCTCTTAAAAAGTTTGGGGTTTAAGCATATTTCTAGAGTGAGCTGAATGACAATAAAAGTGCATTTGGTAAATATAAATGTGGGTATTATGAGAAAAACCTCCCTACACTTCACACCACCCACTCTTGAATTATCAGATTAAATAAAGCTGATGCACAGCAACAAAAGTCAAAGCACGCTCAGCAAGGAGGATCATTTCCTCATTTTACAGAGCTGGGTTTTTCTTTTTCTCTTAAACATCCGTGTTAGAGACACAGCTGAACCACACTTCAGGTAAGAATATATGTCAAGCAGACTGCTATACAATTAAAAAACATAATAAAGGAGGGTAAATTCCCCCATTTGTAGCAAAAGCAGATGAAATTCAAGCGTGGCAGGGTATGTCTTACCTTTCTTTTTGGCTTAACTGATTTATCAAGATTCCTATACAGAGGGTGAAGGTTTGTTTCACATTACAAGGACACAAATGCGTTTCTACACCTACAGTAACTTAGACTGCAATGGAGAAAAATCCAAACATTCATTAAACAGCTATGCATTGTCTGGTAGGAAAAGGTGGAGCAGAAGCGATCGCTCCTCCACGTCTGATCATTTGAGGAACGCTGTGGACAACTTAACTCCAGAAGTTCCTCCCTCACTCTCCATTTCTGCATTACTCTCTCAGAAGCTTGCAAACTATATTCATCTCTCCACTGCTTTTGTCACACGCTGGTAAAAACTGATTCTTCCTGCAGCGTGTCCAAGCGGTTGCTGCTTTCCTTTCTTCTTCTGCCTTCTACGTTCCCATTATTGATGTCAATAGGAAAGGGCGCAGCTTAGAGAACATGTTTGTTATTTAACTGTTGCAGATCTCAACGGGAGAATGGGATATAAAGCTTACCTCTTTTCTTCTCTGTGTAATGCCAACATGCTGGCTTTTAAAAAACCTCAGTGAAAAATTCAGTGGATCTTTTAAACATACCCCCCCCCCCCCC